AAATACACTCGACTATGACTGAGTCCACGCCTGCTCACGGGTTTTCCACAGGATCTAAAAATTATTAGGTTTTTCTTAACTTTTGATTACGTACGCGCACATTCATGCAAAAGTTGGATATACCTCGAAATATGAATATTCAATCCGTCTTTACTTAATTGAATACCACACTTAAAGGGAAGGCCATCTGTACAGCAAAGCCCGATTTTAGATTGGCGCACCGGGCCACAGCTGAGCTCAGAGAGCGAGGATCTTATGCTTCTCTTTACCTTGAAGAGGAATCGATGTCCTAATTGTCCTTTTAAAAACTTTAGTGCCTATTCCCTTCGTCCCTGTAGACTTTGCAGTTGTTATTGCAGTGCTCCTCAAGAGACATCTTGCTGAATGAAGTCCTCTCAGCCCAGCTAACCTTCCTTGAGAGGCCGCCATGTTACTTCCATCGAAGCCCGAATGGACTAATGGGAAAACAAAACTGTAAGATAGGCGGGAGGGGAGAGTGGGAGAGTTTTAATTACGTTCTCAAATCGAGAGGAAAAAGAGGTATATACGTAAAAAAAAGAGACAATCATTTCAGAATAGAGAAGGTGCCAGAAAAGAGATGGTCAAAGGAACTTCTAGACTTTGTTTGACTTGACTTTAGACAAATTTATTTCAATAGGCAAAAGGAAAAAATTCGATTTTTCGTCAAAGTAAAACCGTGAAGAGAAATTTACAGCTTCAAATATGAAAAAAAGGTCTCACCTCCGGTGGGACTCGAACCCACAACCTTTGAATTAGAAGTCCAATGCGCTAGTCCATTGCGCCACGGAGGTCGAGCTGCGCATGCGAGGGAAAATTTCTAATATTTAAATCTTGATACCTACTATGATACTCGCTTTAGTCTTTCTCGCCATATAAAGTCGCCTTGTTGAAATTGTAACTTATAGCTGCCAGTTATCCTTTAAGTCGGATCTTCGAACATAGTTTACTGGACTACTTTTGATAGATTAAGACATTTTATTGATTGCTGTTGTTAGATAAGGACAGATCTGTTCGAATTTTTCAGGCCGAAAGCGGATAAAATGAAACGGTTTCTGTCAAAATGGCATTCTGTGAGACCAAACTTCTTAGATACACTTCGAGAAAATGGTGTAAACACAGGTTGGTCTCCCTGTCCATGAATTTGATCAAAACAAGTAGCAGTCATGCAGTGTCGACTTCAAATCAGGTCCACGGGAAGAAAGAATTTAAACCTGTTGTTTTTAACTGTTGATCACCCTGTTTTCCTTGTTTCGAAAGACTAATTGTCCTATCACCAAAAAAATTTTTATTTCTTCAATTTCAATAGCTGGAGATTGTTTTTCCAAATTTTTTAAGGCTGCTCAAATGTTTGTTTGTCAACAAAGCTGTTTAAATTTAAGAGAAAACTGTTTTGGCCAATAACTTTTACTCTGACAATTTTTATTAAAAGAAATAGGAAATCTCCTACTAGGAGTATTCACACCAGACACATAATTTCTGATCTAATCAGCTGTGGATGGAATTCCAATATAAACTAGTTCAACTTACTAAAAACAACTGTTTTACCCACTTTTTTCCAGTGGCTGAATTTATGTGTTGTGACATTGAGAGACTAGCTCAGAGAGTCTCAGTTTCAACAGAGGTAAGCCATTGTTTATTTCTATAATGAATTCAGTCAAATTTGTACCAGGGAGCAACTGAACCAGTTGAACACAAATCTCCTTGATTTATTTTTGTGCCTGTCCTTGCAGATATGCATCTGATTGGTAAGAAAATAATTCAGTGATCTGCTGTGTCGAAGTACATGTGACTCAAAATCTTTTCTTGTTAATTTTGAGCTGTTATATCTCTTTAAAGCTGTTACAAGATTGAAATATACAACTGTACAAAATATGTCTCGATAGTACCCTTCTGCTTTTGCAATGCATGCTTGTTTGGATTGAATTTGTTTCTGGCCTTCATGCAGCTGTCACTGCAATCATTTTTTAAATATCTGTGTTTTTGCGGGTAGGATCTGTCATCCCTTCAAGCCACAATCACCACTCAAACAGCTGCATTCACAATGAATGGCAGTGATTTATATGAGGAAATGGTGTCAAGATTTCACATCCTTTCAACTGGTAATCAGCCTAAATATGGTTTTCTTGTAAATATAATAATTTCTTGTAGTTCCTTTAGACACGTCGAAGGCAAAGTTTCATAACTTTTTTACATTATATTACCTATAACTATTATTTTTCCTTAGCGTACCATGTTGGTACAGTGAAAATTATGTTGAGTGTCTAATTTGTTACTTTACTATTTATAATTTGAACATAAAGTAAGCTGATTAATTAAATTACTTATCATCCATTTTTCTTCCTTCGTCTTTCCACAGGTTGTGATAAGTAAGTATATCTCTATTTTTAAAAAAAATATTGATTTATTGACACAAACAAAGAAGAAAAAGAGAGAGGACCATGTATTTATGAACAAAAATAAGTAAGCAAGTCAAACAATATGCACATTTTTGTGAAAATATGATTTATTAAGAAATTTTCACCTCAGGTAGTTATACAGAGATCTGTCATCCAGGTAAGTACAAAGTCTATTACGTCTAGTTACTTGGTTACAATCACATTAATTGTTGTTCTATTTCAGTTTAGATGAGCTCCTTGATGGAGGTCTGTACACAGGAGAACTGACAGAAATTGTTGGAGCTGCTGGTGTCGGCAAGTCTCAGGTAATGTTCAACACAGAACCTGATACCTGTCCTTAAACAGAAAAGGGTGTTGTTCACATTTACAATTATACAGTC